ACACCTGCTTTGTGGACTACCAAAAAGCATTTGATACAGTTCAACACCAAAAAATGATGGATATTCTAACAAAAGCCCAAATGAATGATAAAGATCGGCGTATAATACAAAATTTATACTGGAACCAATCAGCCACAATAAGAACAAATTTTGAAGGTGAACCAACGGAAATGATCCAGATTCTACGAGGCGTTAGACAAGGTTGTATACTTTCACCTATATTATTTAATCTATATTCAGAGGAAATATTTAGTGAAGCCTTGGAAAAATGCGAACATGGAATACTTCTAAATGGAGAACGCCTAAACAACATCCGTTATGCAGACGACACCGTTATTTTTGCAGACAGTTTGAACAGTTTACAGCAACTAATAAACAAAGTAAATGAAGTAAGTGAAAGATTTGGACTTCAAGTAAATATAACAAAAACTAAATTTATGATCATCAGCAAAAATAAAGTTAGAGACGCTCAACTACTTATCAATAATACACCAGTGGACCGAGTAAAACAGTATAACTATCTTGGAACAACAGTAAATGAACAATGGGATCACTCACAGGAAATAAAATGTAGAATAGAGAAGGCTAGGAGTGCATTCAATAACATGGCCAAACTCTTTAAAAGCCACAATCTTAATCTGGAGATAAAAGTAAGGCTCCTACGATGTTATATCTTCTCAATATTGTATTACGGAGTTGAATCCTGGACACTAACTGAAGCAATGGAGAAAAAACTTGAAGCCTTCGAGATGTGGCTATACAGGCGAATTCTAAGGATATCATGGACAGACAAGATAACCAACGAGACCGTATTACGAAGAGTGGGCAAAGAAAGAGAGGTGATGTATACCATTAAAAGGAGAAAGTTGGAATATCTCGGACATATAATGAGAAACAGCACTAAATACAGATTACTGAAGGTAATCCTACAGGGTAAAGTATTCGGAAAGCGGAGGAATTGGGAGAAGGAGAATATCCATGGTTGAAGAACCTGAGGAAATGGTTCTCCACAACAACAACGAATTTATTTAAAGCAGCAGTTAATAAAATAATTATAGCCAGAATGATTGCCAATATTCGGAACGAATAGGCACTGAAAGAAGAAGAAGTCTTTACCTGGTCTTTTCAATGATGTATCATAAGTAGGGGTTTGCCGTTTAAAACTTTTTTGTGGTGGGTGGGGCCTAGAGGGTGGTGGGGGTGAGTTCTCTTTCATGTCATTTTTGTTCTACCTTACTGTCTTAGAAATGGTTTCAAGCATTTTTCGATATCAGCTTTTGTTCATGAGGTGTAGCCGATTGTAAGTTTTGAAATTGATAGACTGTATTTCTATCTATACTTTTTTCATATTTCTCGTGGATGAGTATCCCAACTCCTTGTATTCTTGTTTTTCTTTTCTGCTGTATACCAATATGTAACTTGGATATTTTACAGTTCCCTTACCTTTTTTTGAAGTTATAGTTCTATACGGGGGGTTTGACGTTGGAAATTTGTACGGCAGTGAATCGGTTACACATGTAAGATATGAGAGAGAGACAGAAGATATATTTTCTCTCTCTTTCTCTCTCGAGAATAAAAATGTTCCTTTTTGTATATATATTTATTAATATATATTTTATACACATTTTTTTTATATATTGATATATATATATATATATATATATATATATATATATATATATATATTATATAAATATATATATATATAATATATATATATATATGTGTGTGTTATATAATATATATTAATATTATTATGTATGTGATATGTTTTGTATTATCTATTCAATGTTCATAATTATTTTAGGCTTTTGTATTTCAAGATAATAATTAAAATAAATCACTGTATGACCGAGAACTGTCAATTGTGAAATACGTAAGTTTCATGTCTAATAGGCAAATTTTTTACGTTTCTTGTTCCTACGTTGGTATATTATGTGAGTTCAAATCCCAATATGAATTTCCTTTTTTAGTTTTGAAATATTTAAAAGCCTCATGTTAATCTTATTAAATATATGGAATATTCGTAAAAATGCTAAATTTTAAATTAAAATGAAAATTTACAACATATTCTGAGTTGTTGGTTTTCTATTTTTTACCTTCCACAAACATTTTTTGAATTTATACTTCTATACGCGAGTTCGACGTTGGAAATTTGTACAGAAGTGAATCGGCAAAATCATTACATATGTAAGATATAGGTAAGAGAGAAAGAAGATATATCTTCTCTATTTTTTAATTAATATTATTATTATGATAAATTAAACATATGCGTAAGTAAGTTATGTATATTCTCATTTTTAAATGTTTATAAATATTGCATTTTAATTTATATTGTATTTTAGCGTTTTTAAATAAAACGAGCGGTTCGAATTTATATAAATATATTTATTTATAAGTTTACAGTTCGGTACTATCTTATCAGCCAAACTACTCATAACATCGTTACATACATACAAAAATATTGTTCTACAATCATCTGGTGTAGTCCCACCTCTAATTCGTTATTTGACGGGTCGTTATTCTCCCGCGATCGACAAATCTGTGGAAAGTTCTCGATGCCCTTACGAGATGCAACCGTTAAATGTTCCACGCAGAACGCATGTTTGTAACAGTATTATCATATTGTATGTATAAAAGTATGTGTAAATATTGTATGTGTAAGAGTATGTGTAAAAAAAATTTTGCATTCAACTCCTTTTATACACATATGAAAATAAAAAAATATATATTTTCATTAAAATATTGATTCAATCTTTAATTTACTATACTCCTATTACAGGACAAATGTTTATATACAGCAAACGATGCACCATATACCTATATACCTAATTCTTTTTCTCTTTCTGCTCTTTGTTACCTATAACATTACATTTGTAATGATTGTGCAGATTGACTCCCATATAAATTTGTAACGGCGAACGGGTGTATAGAAGTATAACTTCTACCGGCAGTACCATTGGACTGCCACACCCGTATTTATTTGTCTCTGAAATACCACATATATCGATTTTATAGGTGTTTGCTTCTATAATTATTATTTCTTATTCTTACTTCTCCATAATTTTATATTCCAACATGTTATCCTTAGCATATCCTTTCTTGTTTCTCTTTTTCTCGCCGTTTTCGTCGTTATTTGGTTCCGTCTTGTTTTCGAGACCTATTGGCTGCTTATACCTACTTCCGATTCATAAACCACTACATTTTCTTATAAAGCCTGCCCAGTTGTAGGACCATATGTTTTTCAATTTAGGTGATTATCTATGTTAATAGTCAGATATTTGAAATCGTTTCTAGCAGGTAGTAATTTTCGGTTTATAGATACTAGAGGGCACTTCTCTATGTTTAACGTGAATATGATGTTAGTCAATTTAGTATAATTTACTTTAACACGTCATAGTTTTAACCAACTTTCTATTTTTTTTAAATGGTGTTGCAAGTTGCTGGATGCTAATCTTGGATTTATATGAGTGGCCATTGTGATGGCATCATCTGCATACGTAGCAATCGTAGTATTATCTTTGATACGGATGTCAGCTGTGTACAGTAAATATTAGGTTTGACCGCTTACAATATATTGAGGGACTTCTACCGAGATCAGATAAAGGGAAGTGGAAGCTTTACCATAATTATTTAAGAAGAATCTATCTATTATATATGACTTTAAAATTTTGGCTATAGAACGAGGTAGCTCTGATTTGATTTTTAAAGTTAGACCATCATGCCAAACCTTGTCAAATGCCTGCGAGACGTCTAGAAAGGTAGCTGTATTGTAGTACTTCTTTTCATGGGCATCTACAGCTGTTCTGACTGCTCTATGTATTTGCTAAATGAGATCATGTTTTTGTCTAAAGCCAAATTGGTATTTTGGATTAAAAATAACTTTTGTTATTAAGTTATTTTTCAAGATAATATGTTCGATTTTAAACAGAAGAACCTTTTAAAAAAGTTTGAGAGAGTTGGTAGAAGACTTATCGGACGGTATGATAAAATCCGATTTGGGTCTTTGCCAGGCTTTGGCACTATAATTATTTTAGCTACTATCCACATGACAGGAAAGTAATCAACATTTATAATAGCATTAAAAATATACAGAATCAGCCTGTTAGTCTTTTTAGGTAAATTTTTTAATATTAGACCCGTGATAAAATCATAACTGGGTGATTTTTTTGTTTAATTTTAAAATGACTCCTGTGATTTTACAAATGTTTATTGTTTTGATCGGTCAACTTATCTGATATCGAGCGGCTAGTATGTCTAAAATGGGTTTTTGGTCGCCTGTATGAGCTAATTTCTGATGAGGTTGGAATACAGATACAGATAAGATATTCCGCAAAAGTGCTTCTTTGTCTTTATCGCTACAAGCATAGCTACCCTCATTGTTTTGCTACAATAGTCTTAGTTTGTTATTGGGATTTTAGTTTCGTTGTCTTTTCAAATCAAATAATGGTTTCATATTTAAGTATCAAATTTAAGTATTAAGATTCAAAAATAAATCATATCCGGTATTTTTTGCCTGTCAATTAGCCAGTCGGTAGATTGACCTGTGCATAGAGTGCTAAGCTTGTTTATTATAGTACTTTTGAGTAAAGTTCGACCACGTGTGGTTATGTTCTTGATTCCCATTGATGTAACTTCGTATTATCGGTCTAAATTAGGTAGTAAAATATGTTTCTTTATTGGTTTGTTTGGTGGGCAATAAACAGCAGATAATATCAGTTATCGATGAAAGTCTTCTATTGATATCGAGGTGACCTCTATGTTTATTTCTTTAGTTTTGTTTGTTACATGGTGCCTAATACTATGTGTTCGTATTATTGCAGTCTCGCCGTGAGCTTTGCCCTGTAGATGTCCAGTGGAGTAGGTTAGATAATTTTAAACCTTAAAGGAACTTTTATTTGTCATAATGTGCCTTAGAACTCAGCATGACGTCAATGTCTTGTTGGATAATTAATGTGTTGGGTGTATACTATTTTAAAATATTTTTTGTGTATTATTCTTTAACTCCATAGTGCTACAGTCAGTAACATTTGCTTTGTTTGTATCAGCTTTCTAACTAAAAAGCAAGTAATTAATATAATTACATTACAAAATAGTAAAAAGGTAAAATATTTTAGGCATTATTTACTAGTATTCTCATTATATTATATGTATTATTATTCTGCCTGTATTATTCTTTAACTCCATAGTGCTACAGTCAGTAACATTTGCTTTGTTTGTATCAGCTTCGGTACTAAAAAGCCAGTAATGAATATAATTACATTACAAAATAGTAAAAAGGAAAATATTTTAGATATTATTTACTAGTGTTCTCATTATATTTTATTATGGGTAATATAAAAATTATTCAATTTGATTTTGAAATTTAAATGTCAGTCGACCTTTAAGTCTCAAAACAATGCTGCACAAAAAGAAACGGGCAATGCTTTACTCCATAAACTAAGTATATCTAAAAAATTATCTGAAGTATATTAACTCTTAAGTAATTGCTAAGTCGTAAAAAGTACGCCATCTGCGGTTGGATCTTTCTTTTTTTTGGGTTATAAGAGCTTTAAAGTATCCTGTCTATGTATCTTCTAGCCAAACTACTTTTGATCTATTGAGCAAGCTACGACGTTTTCAGTTATTGCTTCGCGTTCTGACGATAAGTTTATTTTGTATGCCACTAAGCCATGTAAGTACCTATATTCTTTCAATAATCTTACAGAAGAACATGAACATAAACACATGCCTAAACATAAACAGGGCATGCCTAAAAAACTACAGAGTCGTTATGGCCATTTTAAAGAAGGTTTTCCTTATATGATAAAAAAATAAAACAATCAGAAGAATGTAGTATGAATAACATTAAAAAAAGATGTAAGTACTTAGTAAGGAAGAAAAAATTAAAACTTATACTCTGCTAAACTTGTAATCAGTCCGTAAATAACATGTCACAACAATACATACTTGCTTAAATTTTAATTGGTCTTAGGATGGAGAAAAAGACAGCAATTTTTATATATTTTTTATATAAGAATTATTAATTATGTATGTTTTTATTGTGTTGTTAAATCTTTCGTTTTGATTACTAACAAAAAATTTAAAAAAAAATGGTGACTTTTTATAAATTTTATATACTTTTAGCTTATTTTTGTAAATGGCGCACAAAGTACGCCCAGCGACCTACGATGACCCAACAAGCATAGCGACAACTTTAGGGAGAGCGCCCACCAAAGTGGCGTGGCAGTGGCAAGTAGCAAGTAGCACGCGTCTACCAATGAAAACGAATGATTCAGTTCACACCAAAATGACAGTGACGTTATTCATTCTAATCATTCGTTAGGATTGGTTACATTATGCTAGACGCGTGCTACTTGCTACTTGCCACTGCCACGCCACTTTGGTGGGCGCTCTCCCTAAGGGTTACATACGACTTATTCAAAGGTACTGACCCAGGGATCCCCTTAAAACAAAAAATATTTTACCATGCATAAAATATCCATTAGAAAGTTAGTTAAACACATACCCATTTTATTATTATCGAAAACACTTTTAAAAAGTACAGGATTGTGTTTGATGGCATTCATTCTTCTATTTGTGCCTTGTTCAATCTTTTTCCTCCTAGGCTGCTCAACAGGTAACACACTTCTTCGCTGTTTTGGTAATTTGGCTCTAGCCTAAAAGATTTAAAAAATGGTTAAATTAAAGTATGTTAACCTTGTTTAATGCAAAAAAACAATTTTCAGTTATACTTTAACACTCTTGTTTTATGAATAATTTTACGAATATTTTGAATATCTTAATAATATACAACATAAATTCAACCCAATACGTTATAATTATTATATGATATTTTTTATTAACATTTCATTTTGGATTAGAGTCTATCTACACCTTTAATGGTTTTTAAAAACATTACACTGGGGAACACATTGTTTCATGAGTTAGATCGGACACTTGTTTTTCACTAATTTGTGTCCTTTGAATCTAAGAATAACCTCGGATCTTGTCTATCACGTCAACTTTTTAAACTAAAGGGTATCTTTAAAAATCATGCATATAAAAGACAAGTCCAATCAAGTTCGTATAAATAAAATTGTTTAATTAGTAAGTACTTACGAATTAAGACAAAAAATTGCGTTTATAGCTTTTTCTGGAGTGTTCAGTTTATGTATCTTCACGCTTGATGCTCCAGCAATAGTCAACCATCATATGTATGTCCCATCTACCTTGATATCGTGCTTCCATGACCTTCAAATCTTGATGGAAACGCTCACCCTGCTTATCACTCACCGCACCATGATTGTTTGGGAAATTAGCAAGGTGGCGATGTAAAAAATGCACTTTAATGCTCATGTTGCACCCTAGCTTTTATAAGCTATCCAAGAGTTTCTGGACAATGCCGGCGTAATTCAATGCTCGTGTATTTCCAAGAAAGTTTTTAACAATATTTTTGAATGCCAATCACGCATTCTTTTTAATTTCTGACATTGTTACTACGAAATGTTCATCTGTAAGAAGCTGCCGAATCTATGGACCATCAAAAACACAGGCCTTTATCTTTTTAAATGACAGGCTAGGAAATTTACACCCAATGTTGGGCACGAGCTTTGCTGTCCCACATACACAGAAATCAGGGATACTTTGTGTATCCACGTTGTTAACCAAGACAAAAGTAGACCATTTTAAGGTCAACACAAATGATCCATTGGTGCATGTGATATTGCAACAGATCAATGAACCTTCTTTAGGTCGTCATATTCTTCACGCAAACAAACTGAATGGCCGATTGGAAACTGAACCAAATAAATTTCCATTGTGGAGGAGAACACACTTCAAGCTCCGCTTTGAGCTATTTATAAACAGTCGCCAGTCAGTTGCGTTATAGTTTGAAATTCCCAATTCTTCCATTAAACCACTTACATTATGGCAAAACACAAATCCACTATCACTTTGAAAGTATTACATAAATGCCCTTTCTCGTGTTCGAAAATAGGATACATTGGCTTCCTTTCCAAGCAAGTTTTTCTCATTGAGTCGTGATACTAAGAGCTCTAAAGCTTTTATGGATAGTCTCAAATCTCGTACCAAATCATTTAGCTATTACTGCTCTCTTACGTACGGAGTCATCTTTAATTTCGAAATCTTCATCGTTGGAGTCGCTTTCATCTATACCATATCCGTATTCTCGTTTTTCCAAAGAGGGAAATTCATTGAAAACTGGCACGGAGATTTCTGCTGAATGCGGCACTGGGCGTATAGCTGACGGTAAACTAGGATACTGTATCTTACATTTGTTTTTCTTGTTATATCCTGATGTTTTCACTATACAAAAGTAACAATCACTTGAATGATCTTTGGGCTCGCGCCAAATCATAGGTATACAAATGGAAGTTTAGCACGTGTTCCCTTGGTCCACATCCGTAAACCTCAACACACTGTTTACACACTTTATGAGGTGCCCATGCTTTATCTTGATCACCAAGTCTCACTTTAAAATAGGCAAAATATGCTTGTCTGACGAATGTACTGATGTTTGTCCTTTGATTGGGAATGGTAAAACTGCCACATATATAACAAAACGAATCGGGACTGTTTTCGCACTTACGACGTGTAGGAGCAGAGGTAGCCATAAGGAAACGTTTCAGTTCAAACACACTAAGTAGGTCACTTAAGTAGTTCTACATACACCTAAGTAACGAAATACTAAATGCTGCTAACCAACACACAACGTTTCACCACGGTATAACAGACGTAACTGAAGTGAACACGTGAAAAGTCAAGTCTAGACCAGTTGCAGTTATCAGCGCGTCATTCCCCACCAACATGCGCCCCATCCACATAGAAAACGAACGTGACGTGATAGAAGAAAAGTAAAAACAGTTTTGAAATCAGCACGCCTAATTCTATAGAAAACAGCTAAAAAATCTAACTCAACAGAAATTGAGTTTCAAATTGTTCCCCAGTATTATCTAACCTATTTATAAAGATGTTAAAAAATAATGTAAGAGAATATAATTTAGTGATATAGCTCTTTCTTATTCCTTTGCTGTTAAGGTACAATATCGTAATTATCTGTAGGTATACTTCAGATTTTATTTCAACAGAATCACTTAAAGAGAGAGATGTAACAAACACCAACATATCAAAAAAGAAAACCCCATAATTTTGAGAGCAAGCTACGACAAAATGTTAAGTAAAGAAAAAGCCTTCTTACAATACAGAACACAACAAACACAAGAGCCATAAAACAACTATAAACGTTCCACGAGGAAACTAAGTTCCTGTAGCTGGCTGTATACCATATATCACAAAAAAATTTTGTTTAAAATCCTTTGTAAAAGGTATATAAAAATGCATCCGAATACTGAATTCATTACTGTGGTCTAATAAAATAAAGATGCATACCAAACTTCGCGTATACAGAGCAATTGTAGAACCAATTACCACATATGGTGCCGAATGTTGGACGATGACAAAGAATGAACGAGATAAAGTAGACGTTGTGGAAATGGATTATCTTAGAAGGTCATGTCGAGTATCGAGAATGGAAAGAATCAGGAATAAGGAAATACGAAACCGTACAGGAATTAGAGATACTCTTTCAGATAGAATACAAGGAAGGCAATTACAATGGTATGGTCACGTGATGAGAATGGAGGAGGAGCGGTGGCCAAAGAAAGCCTTAATGTATGTTCCGCCAGAAAGAAGGAAAAGGGAAGACCACCAAATTCCTGGAGAAGAGAAATTACAAAAACAATGCAATCTAGAGGCTTAGAAGAGGGAGATTGGAGAGATAGGAAAAGATGGAGGCTGAAATGCGGGAAGCGGCAATCGCCGTAGGACCCCCGTTTATATGATGATGATATAAAAATGCCCCAAACGGGCTATCACAAACACATTGCAAAACGTTTTCGGATTAAACAATCCATCATCAGTGCAAACCTGAAAGTATATAACCACTTTAATTAAAAAGAACGTTAAATTAAAATGTTGACAAAGGTTAGAGCAAAATGTGGTTAATACTTACGGTTGTACATGCTAGTAGCCACCAAAATATATGGGTAAAAACCCTTTAAATGTGTTAAATTTGAAGTTGTTTTACATTATTAGTATTTATAATTTGTGATGTTTAAGTTACCGTTGGATAGGTAACATGGCGGCGTATGACTCTACATGAGTAAAATGGTCCTGAGACGAAGTGTCTACGAGGACCTGTTGATAACAACTGATCAAAATGACATTGTTGACATGTTAGGACGGATGTTGTGTTACACTGACTGCTCTGACACAACATCCGTCCTAACATGTCAACAATGTCATTTTGATCAGTTGTTATCAACAGGTCCTCGTAGACACTTCGTCTCAGGACCATTTTACTCATGTAGAGTCATACGCCGCCATGTTACCTATCCAACGGTAACTTAAACATCACAAATTATAAATACTAATAATGTAAAACAACTTCAAATTTAACACATTTAAAGGGTTTTTACCCATATATTTTGGTGGCTACTAGCATGTACAACCGTAAGTATTAACCACATTTTGCTCTAACCTTTGTCAACATTTTAATTTAACGTTCTTTTTAATTAAAGTGGTTATATACTTTCAGGTTTGCACTGATGATGGATTGTTTAATCCGAAAACGTTTTGCAATGTGTTTGTGATAGCCCGTTTGGGGCATTTTTATATACCTTTTATAAAGGATTTTAAACAAAAAATTTTTTTTTAACTATAAACGAATTACAAATAAATCGATTACTTTAGTCAAATCAAGAGGGAACGCTGTCATAGCTTCTCAAAACAAATGAAGGACGACAAAAAAAGAGATTAACGAACTAATAAAAACAAAACACATTCACAAGGAAACATAATCAGACTACTTTCGATCACTATTTGCTAAAGGTGACCATAATGAACCACCAACACCAAAGGTGAGGCAAATGAAAAAAATAAATTAAGGAGGATAAGGTACAGAAGGCATTCAGGAAAATCAAAAATAGAAAATCACCAGGACAATACAGAATATCGAACGAACTCTTAAAGCACAGATAACCAGATCTGAACAAATAATTTATTATTTATTCATTTATTGATGACGGCAGTAAAATAAATGACTTTTAAAAGACGAAACAATATGTCGTAAACTTAGACATAATCCTACCAATATTTTTCAAAACGGATATAATTTTTATTTATTTAGCGTATGGATAATTACAATACGATAAAAGTAGTATTTAGATAATAATTATGTTCAAATTGGAATTGTAACCTAAGTTAAATATTAAATATTAATGTCCAAATTGCACAGCCATTCAATTGCACCAGGAGAACACTCTGCAAAATCTTGAAGGTCTCCGCTGTATCTGCAGATTGGGCAATCTGCCATGATGTGTTGGATGATCTGTCTCGGGGATCCACAATCACATTGTGGGCTTTCTGAATGACCCCATCGGTATAGAGAATCGGCACATTTACCATGACCCGTGCGTATGCGATGAAAAAGATATAATGATCTTATTAATAGATGGGACAAAAATGAATTTATATAAAAGAGAAGGGAGATATACCAATAAATAGAAAGAAAAAAAATACCAACGCAATCAATGACAAAAAAGATACACAAAACCTAAATAAAATATGTTTCAATCTGAGTTAATAGTTATAATAATAAATAAAACACCATAAAAGTAAACCATGAGATACCAATTTTTACTTCTGCCCATACATTATTGTCAGTGTCCCATTTTACGTTATGGTAAGTTTTTTTATATCTTTTACAGCTTTTTGTTTCTACTCTTGTACATTTTAGAAACTTGACGAAGGCAAGGGTTTCGTGCCGAAACGTTGATTTCAAGGGATAATAAAATCTAATTAAAAATTTAATATTACTTATTGAACCCTATCTCAGGAAATACTAATTTTCTATTTTATATTAAATTTAGTATGGTTCAAAAAATTCCATAAATCCATAAAGCTTCAGAGACAGAAAAGTAGATTGATTTTTACTTACCTGAGTATGAGAGTAAAACATAGAAAAATTTGAAACTATTACTGGTACTGGTAATGCTATCGTTAATACTCCGGCTAGAGCACATAGTGCTCCAACAAACATTCCGGCATACGTTTTAGGGGCCATGTCACCATAACCAACAGTCGTCATTGTTACTATCGCCCACCATAATCCTTCTGGTATACTTTTAAAGCTGTTGTCTTTGTTGTCCTAAAATACAAAGAGTAAACTTAATAAAATTAAATTTAACTTAATTAAAATTAATATTAAATAGAAGCGTATAATAGGGAGACAAACAAATGAGACAAGTCATATTTTGTGCGGATATTTACTTTTTTATTCTGTTTTTCTTTTGCACATAAAACCAGAAATATTACTAATGAAAAAATAAACGTTTATAACGTATATTTGACGTTTTGGGTATCAAAACTAAATGCTATTTTGAAAAAACTAGAAATCAATCTAATAGGTGTTAAAAAAGTTCGTAGCTCGTAATAATTTCATATATGTATATATATATATATATATACATATATATATATATATATATATATATATATATATATATATATATATATATATATATATAAAGGAAGAATGATCACAGCTGTCCAATTATTAATTAGTATAATGGTAAGGTTAATTGGGTTAGCAGCTGAATAATGAAAGCCAAAGTGTGCTCTTTTCAACGACTTCGTTATATTTCGTTAAATTTCTTTAACATCTTCAGACGAATGCTACAATATGTTACAAAATGGTGAAATTGTGTATTTTACATAAGATGTAGTGAAACACTTACTTGTGTGAGGTTGCAGGCATAAGTGGTATTTAAAAGTTCCATGTTGAAAAACTTTTTTGAAGATTTTTTTATAAAGCAAAAAAATATAAGTTGTATGTGTTATATGGTGGCTTGAAAACTCAAACAATAAAAGTGCATTTTTGTTATTTTTCTCCAGTGTGATAGTACAATACAAATATTAAAAAACATTGAACATTTAAGAAACAAAACAGTTAAAACACAACTACATATCACATTGTCATTTTTGGACCAGTCTATTCACCTATGCACAAGGAGGTGAAAATTTAGTGTGTACCTCAAGGTTAAAGTGTCTTGTCAGCTATCATATTAGTAGATGTCAGCCAGAAAACTAAAGCTGTGTTCAGTTCATGTGTAAAGTTACATTTAATTGAAAATTATGTTATGTTAATTTAAGACAATTAAATTCTGTTGTTAATAAATATATATAGAATTTATTTATTTCTTTGTGATTATTTCTTTTAAAGTTATTTTAATTGTTGTTATTACTCTTAAGAATTTTATTTCCTGGAAAAATGCAACAATTGCAATAATAATGATTAGGTTACTACTTCTATTGGATGGTCAGAAGAGTTTTAATAGACAATATCATACTATTCAGAATATTCCAGTTCGTTGACTTGATTATTTTTTGTTTCCAACTGTAGTAGAAAGGAATAAATTTCACTAAGGTGTTGTATATCTGATTTGGTGTTGATTATATTATCTGTTGTTGCTATGTGGGTCATTTCTAAAAATAGTCTTCTCTTATAAGCTGTTTCTTTTTCGAGAATTTTGACATCTGCAAAATTCATTCTGTGGTTCTGGGTGTGAACGTGGTTGGCTAGGGTGCATCTATCTGGGTAAAGTCTACAGTCACTTTTGTGAGTGGTAACACGGTCTTTAAGACGTCTAGAGGTTTGGCCGATATACTTGCCATTGCAGTCCATACAAGGAATACTGTAAACAACATTAGATATTTGGTCATGCGGAGTACGATCTTTCATTTTTGAGAAAATAGAGTTTACTGTTAAAACTGTTTTATTGGCTATTTTGATGTTATCATATGATTTAAAGATTCTAGTTAGTTTTGGTGTTAGTTCCCGTATGTAGGGCAACACACAATATGTTGGAAGGGTTTGACTGGTAACCGTATTATGTGAACTTGTACTCGCTATGTTAGAATGTTGGGAGGTAGTTAGGTTGATAGATGTTTCTGATGTAGTATTATATAAAAGTGTTTTTAAAAGAAGAGGTGGATAGGAATTATCTATAAAGAGATCATAAAGTATTTTGAGATTCTTTTGATGGAATGATATATCTGAAATTAGTAGAACCCTATTCTTCATTTGTTTTACTAAATTTAGTTTGGTGGAGTGTTTATGATAGGACATGTAGTTAATGTACCTGCCTGAACTCATTGATTTTGTGTACCAATCGACTATAATGATGTTATCATTTGAGCGGATTAACTTGGTGTCTAAGAAAGGAATAGATTGATTTTCATCTTCGACTTCCATGGTAAATTGTATGTAAGGATCGTAGCTATTGAATATAAATAGTAGTTCATCTATCATATTGTTAGGTACAGCTAAGATCATGTCATCTACATATTTCTTTAAAAAGAAAAGGTTGAAAGGTAGTACTGGAATGATTGTGTCTAACAGGTCATCCATTACATATGCAGCAAGAATGGGGCTAATTTTTGCTCCCATTGGTGTTCCAAAAGTTTGTTTGTAGTATGTGTTGTCAAAAGAAAAATAGGTATTATTGAATAAGAAGGTGATTAAGTTTATGAACATATCTTTATCTATTGTACAATGTCTACTAATTTCTGACCAATGTTTATTTAATGATCTGATGCAAGCTTCAAGATAAACGTTACTAAATAGGGAAACCACATCCAAGCTAACCAACACATAACCTTGAGGTAGTTGTAATCTATTAAATTTATTGTTAACTTCAAAAGAATCTTTTATGTAGTAATCATTATTACAATCATAAGCAGAGGTTAGGATTTCAGTAATAAAACCAGCAATATTCTCAGTAGGAGCTCCTATTGATGATACTATAGGTCTAACAGATAAAGTTGGTTTGTGTATTTTAGGTAGAGAATAGTATTTGGGTGAAATGCTATTATATGAATTAAGTTTTTTCTTTGCAGTGTCATCAATTTGTTTGTTGTCAAATAACATCTTGACTAACTTGTTACTTTGTCTTTGTATAGACTGAGTAGGATCAGACCTCAATGTGTGATATGAATCATTGTTGTTAATAAGTTGTTTAGACAGTTCTAGATAATCAGTTTTGTTCATAACTACTGTAACATTACCTTTGTCTGATTTAGTGACTATAAGTTCAGAGTGATTTTTTAAGAATTTTTTAGTTTTATCTAATAAATGATGAAAATAGTTGGAAGATTTGTTATTGTGTGAGATGTAGTTAGTCAAAACATTAGTTACCCTAGCTCGAGCTATGTTTTTATCTGACAAATTTGATATTGATGATGCATCATCAATATCAAATTTGTCAGATAAAAACATAGCTCGAGCTAGGGTAACTAATGTTTTGACTAACTACATCTCACACAATAAAAAATCTTCCAACTATTTTCATCATTTATTAGATAAAACTAAAAAATTCTTAAAAAATCACTCTGAACTTATAGTCACTAAATCAGACAAAGGTAATGTTACAGTAGTTATGAACAAAACTGATTATCTAGAACTGTCTAAACAACTTATTAATAACAATGATTCATATCACACATTGAGGTCTGATCCTACTCAGTCTATACAAAGACAAAGTAACAAGTTAGTCAAGATGTTATTTGACAACAAACAAATTGATGACACTGCAAAGAAAAAACTTAATTCATATAATAGCATTTCACCCAAATACTATTCTCTACCTAAAATACACAAACCAACTTTATCTGTTAGACCTATAGTATCATCAATAGGAGCTCCTACTGAGAATATTGCTGGTTTTATTACTGAAATCCTAACCTCTGCTTATGATTGTAATAATGATTACTACATAAAAGATTCTTTTGAAGTTAACAATAAATTTAATAGATTACAACTACCTCAAGGTTATGTGTTGGTTAGCTTGGATGTGGTTTCCCTATTTAGTAACGTTTATCTTGAAGCTTGCATCAGATCATTAAATAAACATTGGTCAGAAATTAGTAGACATTGTACAATAGATAAAGATATGTTCATAAACTTAATCACCTTCTTATTCAATAATACCTATTTTTCTTTTGACAACACATACTACAAACAAACTTTTGGAACACCAATGGGAGCAAAAATTAGCCCCATTCTTGCTGCATATGTAATGGATGACCTGTTAGACACAATCATTCCAGTACTACCTTTCAACCTTTTCTTTTTAAAGAAATATGTAGATGACATGATCTTAGCTGTACCTAACAATATGATAGATGAACTACTATTTATATTCAATAGCTACGATCCTTACATACAATTTACCATGGAAGTCGAAGATGAAAATCAATCTATTCCTTTCTTAGACACCAAGTTAATCCGCTCAAATGATAACATCATTATAGTCGATTGGTACACAAAATCAATGAGTTCAGGCAGGTACATTAACTACATGTCCTATCATAAACACTCCACCAAACTAAATTTAGTAAAACAAATGAAGAATAGGGTTCTACTAATTTCAGATATATCATTCCATCAAAAGAATCTCAAAATACTTTATGATCTCTTTATAGATAATTCCTATCCACCTCTTCTTTTAAAAACACTTTTATATAATACTACATCAGAAACATCTATCAACCTAACTACCTCCCAACATTCTAACATAGCGAGTACAAATTCACATAATACGGTTACCAGTCAAACCCTTCCAACATATTGTGTGTTGCCCTACATACGGGAACTAACACCAAAACTAACTAGAATCTTTAAATCATATGATAACATCAAAATAGCCAATAAAACAGTTTTAACAGTAAACTCTATTTTCTCAAAAATGAAAGATCGTACTCCGCATGACCAAATATCTAATGTTGTTTACAGTATTCCTTGTATGGACTGCAATGGCAAGTATATCGGCCAAACCTCTAGACGTCTTAAAGACCGTGTTACCACTCACAAAAGTGACTGTAGACTTTACCCAGATAGATGCACCCTAGCCAACCACGTTCACACCCAGAACCACAGAATGAATTTTGCAGATGTCAAAATCCTCGAAAAAGAAACAGCTTATAAGAGAAGACTATTTTTAGAAATGACCCACATAGCAACAACAGATAATATAATCAACACCAAATCAGATATACAACACCTTAGTGAAATTTATTCCTTTCTACTACAGTTGGAAACAAAAAATAATCAAGTCAACGAACTGGAATATTCTGAATAGTATGATATTGTCTATTAAAACTCTTCTGACCATCCAATAGAAGTAGTAACCTAATCATTATTATTGCAATTGTTGCATTTTTCCAGGAAATAAAATTCTTAAGAGTAATAACAACAATTAAAATAACTTTAAAAGAAATAATCACAAAGAAATAAATAAATTCTATATATATTTATTAACAACAGAATTTAATTGTCTTAAATTAACATAACATAATTTTCAATTAAATGTAACTTTACACATGAACTGAACACAGCTTTAGTTTTCTGGCTGACATCTACTAATATGATAGCTGACAAGACACTTTAACCTTGAGGTACACACTAAATTTTCACCTCCTTGTGCATAGGTGAATAGACTGGTCCAAAAAATGACAATGTGATATGTAGTTGTGTTTTAACTGTTTTGTTTCTTAAATGTTCAATGTTTTTTAATATTTGTATTGTACTATCACACTGGAGAAAAATAACAAAAATGCACTTTTATTGTTTGAGTTTTCAAGCCACCATATAACACATACAACTTATATTTTTTTGCTTTATAAAAAAATCTTCAAAAAAGTTTTTCAACATGGAACTTTTAAATACCACTTATGCCTGCAACCTCACACAAGTAAGTGTTTCACTACATCTTATGTAAAATACACAATTTCACCATTTTGTAACATATTGTAGCATTCGTCTGAAGATGTTAAAGAAATTTAACGAAATATAACGAAGTCGTTGAAAAGAGCACACTTTGGCTTTCATTATTCAGCTGCTAACCCAATTAACCTTATCATTATACTAATATATATATATATATATATATATATATATATATATATATATATATATATGTATATATATATATAAATTAATGACTATAATAGTGATAAAAGACCCTGATGGTTTCCAGGGCAACAACTAACACCAACCACAGAAGAAGCTACAGCTACCTGGGGAAGGAATACCAAACGTTGAAACGTTTAAAACAAATGGAAAAGGATAATGCGAGTGAATAATAAATGTATAAATTAATTGCGTGTCTCGCAAAACTAAAAACCAAAAATGGTATATAGATGGAAGGCAAACGTATATACGTATTTCTGACTGTTGGTCGTCTTCAGTACGGTGCAGCCAAGTTAGAAAAGGAGCATATTAACTTGGGAAAGGATCACTACAGGAACAATGCAACCAATTTGTGGCCTTTGTGATAGAAGACCCTGATGGTTTCCAGGGCAACAACTAACACCAACCACGGAGGAAGCTACAGCTACCTGGGGAAAGGAATGCCAAACGTTGAAACGTTTAAAACTAAAAACCAAAAATGGTATATAAGTAGATGGAATGCCCTTGCACAGCATGCTATCAACACTAAACACAGAGTAGATTTTAATAAAGCTAGTATTCTTGGTTCTAAACGCAATCTCGTTAAAAGACAGTTTTTAGAAATGTGTCATATACTTAAACACCCTAATACTCTTAATAAGAGAACTGACATTAGTAACTTGAGCCAAATTTATCATGCTCTAATATTGCAAAATTAGGCTTACTATGTTATTTACTTTAAAAATTGTCACCTAAGTTGTTTTCTTTACATAATTTCTTTTTAAATAATTTTCAAATATAAATTAAAATAAATTAAATAATAAACTCTTACTTTTAATTATTTTAGATTTATGCAACCTATATTTCATGACTTAATGTCAACGTTGCTTTTGTATAATTGTATTAATTGTTTCCATATAAATAGTTTAATACAACTTTATTATTATAAATTGATTCATAGAATCATATTAAATTCAGTTCCAAATGTGATGAACCTTAGACTGTTAAAAGTTTGATCATCTTTCCCCTGTGGCTGGCTAACCAGTCACAACGTAGACTATTAACATATGATTTTTTGGATTGACTTCTCCTGTTTGTTCTTTATTTCATCTCAACCGATCACTGGAGGGAAAATTGAGTTCTCAACCATCTTTTCCTTTCAGTTTTTGGTTTTTACAGACAGTTTGTCGACCAAAGTCATATTTTTTAAATAAACCGCTCTATTGTACTGGAGTTGGTAGTAAGACGCCTTGTAGTTCTGTCACTTGTTGACCTCTTGTCATCTGTCTTTTCACGTTGTTGACGTTTAACACCTGTTGCCTTCATTTTACCGGCAGCACTCGACAAGCTCTCAGTGGTAACTTCATCATTACTTTTAAATTACTAAATTTTTAATTAATCATTAGAATAATGCTACCTAAAGTTAAAATTAAATCTTAATTATTGATTTACTGTTGGAAGTGCATTCTTGGATCTTTTAGTTCTTTTCCACACTAATTTTGTTTTTTATATATTATTATGATAAGTTTTTACTTATAAAGTTTGTTAACATACATGTACAACTACCACATGTTTTTTGCTGTGCTAATTTTATGAAAATTGTTAACTATATTTAGTTCAATTTATTGTTTATACAACATAATTATACAATGTCCGTTGTCGTAAGCTTCTTTACAATTGTTAATATCACTGACTGCTACATATCTTGTTGAGGTAATATACTTAATAACTTCTCACTGGATGTTAGGTTTTTCATATTGTTCTTTTTAGATGAACTGATGATGCTAACAAATTGGATAGCGAAACGTTTTCAATAAATAGATGAAGTTGCCATCATCTTTGCCTTTTTTCTCCAATTTTGGCCGAAGTTTTTTTTGACCGAAAAACCCGCCACTCTTCGAGTAATCCTTATTATATACACTTCATCTAATTTATATACCAATGCACGTCATCGGCTTCATAGCCTGTGACGGCACATGATACCAACACAAAATATTTAGGGTGTAGGTGTGTTCTTTTTTAGAATCACTTTACCGAGTACACTGGCATTACAGCTACTTCTTCTTCTTTAAGTGCCGTCTCCATCAATGGAGGTTAGCGGTTATGGTAACAAACGTTTGTCTATCTTCAGCTGCTCTTAAGAGTTCCTCAAATCCAAGTCCTGTCCAGTTTCTAATATTACGTAACCAGGACAATTTTTTTCTTTCAATTACTCGCTTTCCTTCTATTTTGCCTTTTATTATCAACTGAGGGATGTAGTATTTCTCGTTGCGCAACAAATGCCCTAAATAACTGGTTTTTCTTCTTTAGACTGTTCCCAATAGTTCTTT